GAATAGCACTTGTGTGCCAGGCCGGACACACACACACACACACACACACACACACACACAGTATACGTTTTGCCTCCAGTAGTGCTCTGTTGAATGTGTTGAGTCATTCTGGCCCGTGTGTTTTTGTTCCGTCGCCCCCTCGGCTCAGACCGGTATTCATGATTTCACAGCTATTGTCATGCTGCTGTTACTCATTCACTTGCCCCCTTTCAAGATTTGCCCTCCTCTGCCCTCTCGGGCTCCCCCTCTCCCTTTCTTTCTCTCATTTTTTCTCTGCCCCCATCTAAAGTCAAGTCATGGCAAGGTTTATTGTTGTTTCTCCTTCAGAGGAAGAGAAGGAATAAAGTATTGTTTCTCTAGTGGCTCTGAGGCAAACATTTAAAGGTGAAACTATGCCATTTTTTCAATATGTTCTCCTCCTTGATTCTTTCAAAAATGAACATTGTGATTATTTACACATCCTCTTGTTATTCCAAACTTTTATGACTTAGTTTTCTATGAAAAATAAAATGTCAGGTAATATCCAAGCTGTTCTTTTCCATACAAAGGGAACGAATCAGACTTCTCATACTCCAAAAAGTCAAAAGTAGTTTGTCAAAGGTCCTGTCCTACTTTCCTTTCTATCACTAAAGGCAAAAATGATTTAAAAAAAACTTAAATAATTCAACTTTGGCTCCATTTTCCTTGCCTTCTGAGGCCTTTTGATTAGTATTGGTGAGGGAAAGGCCTTAAGTTTATTACAAGTATTATTAAAAGTTGTTCCTGTGATTGATTCAAAACATTGTGTCGTAATATATCATAATACATGAGAACTTGACATGAGAGTCTTTGGTTCACACAAAACCGTATGGCTTCAGAAGCCAATTTTATGATATTTTTTTTAATGTACGTTTTTTTCATTTTGGAGCTTTGCGGTAACTGTTCGCTTTTGTATGGATGAGAGCAAGATAGGACAAGGACAATATATTTTGGACATCTCAATTTGTGTTTAAATTGAACTATTGGTTATTATCAGTAGTGTAGCAATGAGTGAAGCACAGCTCACACAGAAGTCACTTTCAAACCAAGCAGCTTTCTTTCTGTCAATATGGCAAATCCACATGACCAACTTAAACCCGTTGCAAAATATGCATGGGGAAATCTTTCGCCCTCACATGAAATTCCCAATTGCATAGATTCCTATTGAAATTACTGGTTTCGATAGATGACGGTGAATGTGACTGCACCTTAAGAATAGGCTGACCTTCCACTGTGTATAAACACTGTTTAAAAAATACGTACACTAGCATATGATACTACTTACATTGGTGTGAGTTTGGGGTAGGAGTCCGCGGGACCACTTGTTTGTCTATCCAATGGATGAATAGGAAGCTATTGGAAGAGTGGTGTCGAAATTATATGCTTCCTCTTTAAGACAGGACAGACATTGATAATAAATACAAATGCAGCATACATTTTTTTTTTTTTGTTCAGATATAAGTGAGACAGTGGCTGACACATCAGGTGTAGTCAGTGTGTTGTGTTGACAGAAACACAGCGTCATGTTTCAGGTAATCTCAGGGATGACTAAAGCTCCTGGCAGCAGGTACGGAGAGAAAAATCTGTGCTTGGGACAGAGCCCTTCAAGCAACATACCTCAACACCTGTTGTAGAAGTAGTCATGTAGTTATAAAAATGTATAAAGCTTGTGTGGAGCGTACAGTATAATTAGGGATTGGACTAGGGCTTAAGAAGCAGTGCAGGGTGTGAAGAGGAGTGTGTGTGTGTGTGTGTGTGTTAATACTCTCACACACAGCAGATGCAAAACCAGCTTCAGTTACACTAAAGAGACGCTAGCAGGCAGAAGAACGCTCAGATTTCTCAGAGAGAGGGGAGGGGATCAGTAGACCAACTGCTACTCTTAAGAAGTTTCTTCATCCCACACACACACACGCACGCACGCACACACACACACAGAAGATATTTAGAGTGAGACCTTCAGGATATAATCCTGCTTATTAGCTGGTGACTTTTGTCATGCCATAACAATCATTCGTACGTGTCTTTGAGCCCGGACACAGCTGGAGACCTCACGCAGGAGCTGTTTGTGAGCCCCTGAGGAGAATGTGATGCGTCTAGGCGACTATTTCCAGGAACACAAAGTAAACATGGCTTGAACAGAAATGAAAGCATTAAGCAGTGCCACTCAAACAGGAAAGTTCTAAGAGATTATCTTAAAGATAATTTCATTGCAACTAGTAAAAACTTTTAAAAAAAAAAGAGCTTGATTCTGTTGTACAGCTGAACAGTAGTGCTGCCTCAAACTGATGCCGTTGGTTGAGACTGAAGTTGTCAGGCCACTAAAGACAACAAAGTGCTGTTTGCACTTTGAGGAATCAGCTTCTGAATGACCTGCTTATATTTTTTTGTGTATGCACATTAAATATGATATAATATAATAAATACAGTACAGTTTTATATACAGTGGGTACGGAAAGTATTCAGACCCCCTTAAATTTTTCACTCTGTTATATTGCAGCCATTTGCTAAAATCATTTAAGTTAATTTTTTTTCCTCATTAATGTACACACAGCACCCCATATTGACAGAAAAACACAGAATTGTTGACATTTTTGCAGATTTATTAAAAAAGAAAAACTGAAATATCACATGGTCCTAAGTATTCAGACCCTTTGCTGTGACACTCATATATTTAACTCAGGTGCTGTCCATTTCTTCTGATCATCCTTGAGATGGTTCTACACCTTCATTTGAGTCCAGCTGTGTTTGATTATACTGATTGGACTTGTATATATATACTGTATATGATAATTTTCAGCTATTATATATGATTATTTGCTATCTAGTTTTCTGTTAAATGTCAAATTATTATTAATGTGGGATGCCATTAATGTGATTACCCTGTACAATGTGAAACAAGGATTTATAAAACTTGTTATACTATTATTTTTTATGTTTCTCAAAGAAGTTTGACATGCTGAAAATGAAAACCGCATTAACAGTGCTCATGAAAACTAAAAAATGTGTTGACAACTTATACAAGCTAATCTGTTATTGCTCATGCATAAAAATGACAAACAGTTAATTTAACATAATAAAATCATCCAATGTACACTTGGAAGTTTTGGACAGCTCACTTTCGGTAACCTTTTGTTTTAAAGTGTATTCAAATTTTTCTAGTCCCACAATGTTCTGGAATGTTCCAGAAAGCACCAGAATGTTACAGAAACTTCTAGAATGTTCCCATCCTTGCAAAAGCGAAATATCTTTAAAATAATATTCAAAATTACTACAAAAACTTATCTGTACTAAACCAATGTTGCATAATTAATGATAGACGTTCTAAAATGTATCCTACCTAAATATTTTACCGAAGTGTTGATGTTATGTGAAATTAAATAGAACATTATAAAACGGATAGTTCCGGTCCTTGATTCTGATTGG